GTGATTCCATTTGCTGTCTGAAATGATATGGGCTCTGGAGTCACGAGTGTCTCGAGACTATGCTTCTCGATCTTCTTCTGAGATATGAGGTCGTGGCCACACCCAGTGTCCATGAGAAACTTGATCTTCTTCTTGAGGATGACTGGTTGAACCATGCATTTGCATACACCTTGATTGATGATCCGCTTGCTGTGCGCAGCATCGAGTTCACGCTCAACGATGGAATCCTCACCGTCGTAGAAGGAGACTTCCTCCACCCGAGACGTTCCTGGGATTCGCACGAATGAAACTCGATCTCCACATTGATCATCATCGTCGTCAACCATGTCTCTCATAATCTGTGCCCTCAATCTCGCTTTGTGCTTGGCGAATTCCAAATTCACGGCGCGATCCTCATCGTTGACAAGCGCTTCCATGTCGACGTACTTCACCTTCCGCTCTTTGTCCTTCTTCGATCTTCTAGGACACGAAGAAATGAACTTCACGTCATCGGCGAATGTCACATTACGCTTGATCCCTTTTCGGGTCGACGTAGTCGGTCCCGAGGATTCGTCGTCTGTTGAACAATCCGAATCAGCGTCGCTGTCAACGGATGGACAATCTGACTCCTCCTCATCTTGTCTTGAAGATCGCTTCCATATCGCCGGAGCTGATGGATTCCACCTTCGGCACAATCTGATGGCGGGTGCCGCAGGGAGCGCCTTGGCCTTGGCATTCGGCTTCGCTGGAGCTGCCTTCGCTTCGGATTTGGCTTTAGCTTTTGCCTTTGGTTCCGGAGCTGGGGTAGCTGCTGCCTCATGCTTGAAAGGACAATTCTCTCTTGAGCACGAGCCTGTGTTCTTGAACGAGTAGCATATCCTGTTTCCTCCTCCTCCAGATGGACTTGGAGTTCTCGTCCTCGGCGTAAAGGGTCGCTCTGGAGTCTTCTTCGAGTGACTGAATGGGCACTTGTCACCATTTCGACACCCTGCATCTGTGAAATGGAACTTGCAGCGGATTTGCTTCTTGCTCTTGTCACCTCTGTTGTCCGCTGACTCACTCCTCGTCTTCTTCTTGGGTTTTGGCTTGGTTTTCGCATGACTCTTCGCTTTGCTTTGAGGTAGTACAGGTGTTGCTTTATCCGGCTTGGTCGGCGAAGCCTTGACCTTTGCGGATGGAGCTGCGTTAGGCGTTGGTTTCTCAGGTACCTTGGCCGGTGCAGCAAGCAAATCCTTGCCCTCAAGCATCTGGCGCAAGCCAATTTGGGTCTGAGTGAGATTTGATTGTTCTCGTCTCCGCATGATGGTACGGTCCATGATCTTCATCAAATTGTCGTACGATCGGTCTTCATGATTGTAGGGCAAGTGTTCGTAGTGCATGCCCAACTCCATCTTCATTGCGGGCGAGTCCTTGATCTTGCTGTACAAGCAATCACGGAGAGCTGTTTTGGATGGTATGTCTTCTGGCCTCATCCGTCCCAGAACTTCCAACCACGTCTGCTTGAACGTATGAAGCTTGTTGTCGCCTTGGTACTGGAGCTTCACCAGATACTCGAGAGTGATGATCATGTCGAGACGATCATGCGTTCGAAAGCTTTCATACATCATCGCAATGATTTGTCGTCCTTTGATGATCTTCCCTTCGGGCCTGCTGATGTAATCGTTGGCCTTCCGGTTCACCTCCAGGTATAGGTCAGCAGATTTGTCACCACCAGCACGTAGCATTGCGACCATTGCGATCCCCAATTTGACGTCTACGCTCTTAAACTTCTTGTGTCCTGAATCGTTCAATGCTTCGACGTCAGGGAATGGGTTGAACGCTGGTGCCAGCCATAACATCCAGTCCTCATGATTTGGATCGGCTGATGCTCCTAAGACATTCGCCGTGCATACGGATCGCCAGTTGTTGAGGTGAGTGAGAGTAGGCCATGGAGGTACGGTCACTTTGTCGGCCTCCCTCCTGGAAATTCTCACTTCCGTGACTTCAGGATCTGCGTCTCCATCAGGATCACGCGCATGAGATCCAGGATCCGATTCAGGTTTGCCTCCACCGCTTTTCTTCTTATCATCATCATCATCAGGCGGGTCAGGAGGGTCATACCCCGTGCCGGTTCCTTCATCGTGCTCTCCATCTTCGTTCTCGTCGCCAGCCTCGTCACCGTCATCGTCTCCATTATCCTCCTGAATCGTTTCAGCGAATAATCTCCACTCATCACGATCAGCTCTGAGACGTTGTTCGGCTTTCTGGGCCTTGAGTACTTCGCTTCGCAGATCGGCAATCTTCTCCTCGTACCGTTCCGCGACCTCTTTCTCGATCTGACGTCTCCTTGCTTCATGAATGGAATCGTCATAGGCAATAGGGGGACCGATGAGGTCGTTGCCCTTCGTAGATGCGGTGATACCGTCGACACCAACAGGTCTTGAGGAGCTGGCAGATGCTGTGGACTTCGATCCCAACATCCCGCGATCCTCCAAGAGTTCGCGTAGCTGTCGATCACGCACGGCTGCCGCATCACTTTTCCCATGAAATCCGCTTGGTATGCCGAACAAAGTGGCTGCACTAGGCGTGGAACGCGCAAGTGCTGGGCTGCTAATACCTGGCACGTAGTGCTCGGGCATTGCATCCGCCACGATTGGCATTGAACTGCGGCCAGTGAAGAAGTTTCCACCGGTGAATGGAATTCCATCCATCACAAGGTTCTTGTCCTTGTCCGATTCCGAGAATGCGAACTTCTCTTTGGCGACTGGACTAACTTGACTTGGGGACCGTATTTCAGGGGATCGTACCTCACCTCCTACGGAAAATGCAGGCACTACTTCCTTTCCTACGTGCTCCCAGCCAGACTCAGTAGTCCTCGAAGACATGGGCATGCTTGAAGGCCGTGTCGCTCCTCCGTAATTGGAGTTTCGCGCTGCCTCCAATTCGCTGCGTGTCCTCGCTTGAAGATCTTCTTGTGCTTTGAGCGTTTTCCTGAGTTCACTCAGCTCGTCGTGCAAGGTAGGCAATGCACGCCTTGCATGATCTTCATTCTGATGAAGTCGGTCCTCTGCATCTTGCATCCTCTTCACAGCCATTTTGCGGTACTCTTCTTCTTCGCCAAGACGTTCGCGAAGCCGAAATCGTTCTTGATCAATGGCTGCGCTGTTTCCAGCTAGCCCTTGGATCTCGTTCACGGCCCGCAACTCCTGGTTCTTGACCAAGTGGAATCGTTCCTGCATTGCTTGTAAGGCTTGTTCCGAACTTGCTGTGTTTGACCGGAGGACCAAGTTCTCTCTGGCATGTTCATGAAGTTCATGAGTCAGACGCTCATACTCACGTGCCATAAGCTCACCATCGCCTTGCGCTCTTGCCTCCAACTGCACAAAGTTAGTGGCTGCCTCCGTGCGGAACACGTGTAGCTGTTGAGCTAACTCCTCGGCAACGGCATGTGCTTGACGTTGTTGAGCAGAGTTCTGTTCATCCATGCGAAACAAAGCTGTTTCATAGTCTCGCTTCATCTCCTGATTGACATTGTTGATGTGCCTCATGGCTAAGCATGCATGGTCACGTTGTCGTTCCAATTCTTCAATGCGAATTCCAGATCCTTCATCTTCTTGTTGCATCTCCTTGATCTTGTCCATCAGGGTCTGGACAACTCCTTCGTATTCTTGCATCTGACTGCGATAGTACATCTGCTGCGCAAGGTTAGATGCCTCGAGCTGTTGCGAAATCGTCAGTTCCTGATAGGCATTCGGACCATCGGCTATGGCTGGCGTGGTCACCGATGACGCATCGCCACGTGCTGGGATAGTGTCCAGAGTCATATCCAGATCGTCAGCATCACGTGGTTGATTGGTAACCATCCGATTCCAAGTCATGGATTTGTCACGCCCACGAGTAGCCGAAGTCCTCGATCGTGCTGAAGAGCTTCTCGAAGATGATGGTCTTGACTTCTTTTCCAAGGTCTTCACTCCTTTGTCCTTGGCCCTGGACGTAGTCCGAGGTGCCTGAAAACCAGACGCTTCGGCTCGTCGTTCGGGAGCCTTGCCCGTCCTCGAACCTGTGGATGTCGGACGCGAAGGCGTAGATGCTCTTGGTAGACTCTTTGCTTTCACCTTGGGAACTGCCTTTGCAATGGCAAGCGCAGAAGATTGACCTTTGTCATCTTCCGTGGAGCTATCAACGGATTGCACCACTGTGTCATCAGCTGTTGATTCACCAACGGCTGGCGCTGCCACATCGGCACCGAAAGTCATTGTCGTATCTTGGCTTGATCCCGAGTTCATTGTGGTCGTAGTAGATCAAGTAGTCGTTGCTGTAGAAAGGCAGAGCCGCGTACGGCTGATAACCTGCGTGGGGGATTGATCTCGACTAGGTTGCTGCTCTCCCCACCAGAGCTGTAATGAATGTAGGTGTGGCTGGCTTGCACTCTCCACAGACTGGACCCTGTCTCTCTTGCACTTCCACGCGTGCAATCCTATGCAGGCAGAACCGGCGGCCGTTCCTTTTGCACTCACTGCCGGCGGCGGTTCGTCTGTGCAACGGGATAGCTCTGATTGCTCAGGATAGAAGACACATATAGCACTTAGCTATGGGCATTGACTTGAGCCAAACGTTGCGTGGGCGGTCACATAGAAAGGTAAAGATGAGGGACGCGTAGCGTGCCCCCTTAGAGTCGAGGGACGCGTAGCGTGCCCCCTTCTCTTGCACTTTACACGGTCTTGCTCACAGCTCTTATAGTGACACCTTAGAACTTGACAAGGCATCGCAGTCCGTTCGCACCTAATGATAATGCTAATGCTAGTGATACTACCCAGTACTTATGCTGATGCTAACACTAACACTACCATAACTACTAATACTGAATACTTAGACTAATGATAGTTCCTACTAATGAAGCACGAAACCATGGTGGTAAACAGACAAGAAATCTCGTGAGATACACTCGTCATGAGCTTGACTGCTCAATCAGAACCCATGACAGAACGCTCTGGAAAACCTTAAACCTCCAAAGCTCGAAGCTGTCGCCCCTGCCCCATGGCCTCGCGGATGGGAAACATCTCCACCATGGATTCAAACCTGGGGCCAGGATCACAGCATCTCCAAGCGACCCCGTATCTTCAACCTCGTCCAAGGCAGTATCGCCATTCGGGCTTTGTTTTTCCACGAGATCAGGGGCACGTCTTGGGCTCCTCGGGTTAGGTTTAGGGTCTAAGCTGACATTTTTGAGAACTTAAGCCAGCTAAACAGAGCTTGTCCTTTTCCGACTTCCTTCTGCAGCAGATCGTCGCATTTTCGAGCGTGCGCACGGGTGGAGCACTCTCGTCAATATTTGCAGCACTCTACCCAGTGCCTAATATCACACCTCCCGATCACGAAGGCGCTGCTTTGTCTTGTTCGCAAAGAAGGCCATGTCGCCCAAACGCTTCACCCCTTTGGGCATGTTGCGGCACTGCTCCAGCACATCCGGATCTGTCGCGAACACTTCTGCGGCAGATTTCTTCGCTCGCTTCGGATTCGGCAGCACCTGTGGCTCGGGCAAACTACCACAATGAAGGAGGATTACGGGGTAAATGTGTCGCGATTATGTGGCACAAAACGCAAGGCCGTCGACTCGGCCGGCCTCTTCCTCATAGGTTGTGTCGCTCCAGGCCGGAATGTGCAGAGTGGCCTGGAAGCCTTCGCTCGTCCGCGTCATCTCGTAGAGCACCTCCTTGGACAGATCATTCTTGCCAGTCAAACACCTGAATCACCGGAGACGGCCCAAAGGAACGAATTTAGACACTCAACAACAACCAACTGCAAAGCCAATTGCGAAATCAGCAGGGGCACTGCGCAAAAGTACCCACTGCTTCAAGCACCGGCATTTTCTCCAACTGCAGGTTGAAAAAATGTCGGTCCAGACCATCTTTTGGCAAAGGCGGCATGGTCGTCTGTGAGATTTCTTGAATTATGTTCGCTCTCTGACATCATGCATCCTTCAACAAACGGTTCCAAAATAAGTGGAAGTAATCATGGCTTCTGCTGTAGCTGTGAGTGTAAGATGCCGTGAAGTGATGCGTCTCTTGGGCTGCTCTTGCTGGGAACTTGGATCGATTTCGAGCCCACACTCGTCGGTTCTACCTGTAGCAGCTCGGATTTCGAGTTTACTATGTAGCAGCGAATGTCTAAATTGAGTCTAAACCAATGTCGACACGATACGCCATGCCTCAATGTTGATATCTTCGTCTTGTCAATCACCTCAACTCTTTTGTACATGAAGGGTTTGCCCTTTGCTGGCCTTCCGAAGCCCCATCTAAGAATCTAAAAGTTCGACAGCACCTGAGCGGCACACTGATCCGGCACCTGCACGGCTGCAGCTCAATCCGATTGGGTAAGGGGAGCGTTTCGGGACTAAAGTTCAAGATTACAGGTCTTGGCTTTTATTGCTCAGGGTATCGGCTTTGGAGGCTGCCCCGCCCTAGGGTCGAAACATGCTGAAACAACCACATGAGCAGCTGCCCTGTGATCCTTAACATGTCTCTGTGGCCATCAAAGTCATCAGCTTCATCCTGATTCTGATTGAGCCCGCACGCAAAAGCCGTCGTAAGCTGGTCTGAAGCCACTAATATAGGGGCCATTATACTTTTTTTATAATAAGGAATCCCCAGAATAATATTGGTGTTAATTTAGGCCCCTTTTAGAACCCTATTATAGATCCCTTTGAAACCGCTTTAAGGACCCCTTTAAAGGGAACCCTAGGTAATTGTTAAGGCCCCCATAAGCTCCGTGGTCTGGCCGGGGCACCGTCCTTTGCAGTGTCTCGGCATAAAGCTGGGCTTCCTCGACACGGCGGTTTCATGCGCTTTCGTCATCTTCGTTTGCCACCTCTGAAGCCTTCCCACAATATGCACAAGAAGGGCTTCGTTGTATACTATTCAATAGATTCAACCAAAAAACCCGCAGACCATGAGGGAATGAGCATCGTTGTGATTGCAAAGTTTCTTCTTGTACTCTGGTCAGTGCAATTGCCATCGCTGGGGCTGCTTGCGAGCGCATGGCTGGGCATCCAGATGCTTCGCAAAACGAAGGGCTGCAGCCCCGAACCCTGAAATCCCGAAGCCGAGGCAGGTTGGGACCTCGGCTCCCCTCGCTATGAACTCAGAAACCGGTCCCAAACCTTCAACAAGACGGTGAGCTCTATCATAAACGCATGAGACCACATCGAACGGCCCAAAACGTCCTCCAAACACACGAAGGATGAGCACGCTTGACATGCAAGATGCTCTGCAAGGATAACACTTGCTCTTTTGCCAGCATGTACCTGAGCCGGATTCCAGACAAGATCGCCGCCAAACCCTTGTGCTTGCTGATGAGAAGGATCATTCGAAAGCAGCACCCTTTAGCCCCTAGTTTTTCGGAGAGAAAGATGGCAAGGGTCCTGGGCAAAGCTCAAGGCCATAGAGTCCTGGCCAGCGAAGCTCAACGCCTGACCGGAGGGGAGTGTCGGATTCCGATAACATCCGAGGTCTTAGGATTTAGCCGTGCGACACTACCACAGCATGTATAAGTTCATGTTGCCAGCTGGTACTGCATATTATTTCACTGTGCTGTCTAGTACTCTCAGCATTGGAGTCAACCCCGGCCACCCTCACACGTTAAAACCCGAATCCCCAACCCCTCCGCCGCCCAGCCACCGCAAAAGCCCCGAAATGCCGAAACCGACCCACGGCCCAGAGCCTCGGCTACGAGCATCAGCGCCGAGGCCATGAGCCCTTGGCAGCTGTCGAACACCTCTGCAGAGACACCCCCCAAGATGCCATCAAATCCACGGAGCACTCTATAAGTTCACCTGGATTGGAGTCATGCTTACACAACGGGTTACATCAGCCAAAACCCCCTTTATGTCGTCAGCCAGCGCTCCGCAAGCGTAGATTTCGCATTTGGGTCTGTGTTTCAGGTCGAGTGTTTGGGCCCAGGAAGGACAGAGGAAGGAGATCACGCCTACACCGCAACCGATGTGGACCGAAATAGCTATTTCCGAAAGAACCGCGCTTGCACAGAGCGAGACGAAGAAGTACTGCCTCCCGGCGCTGCTCCGGCGACGTGGCCAGCACCTCGTTTTGGGTGGGGAGCCCTGAACCTTTGATAGTAACCTCATAGTGATCTTATCAGCAACACTTAAAGTAACCCTGAACCTAAACCCTCTGCCTGAGGGGCTTCAGCGTTTGGGAGCTTTCGAGGGCTCAAGCATTTTGGGAGCCGTAGCTCAGGCATTTAAACATCTGCTACGAGGCCGCAAAGCTCGAAACTGAAGGAGCTTCGGGCAGAGAAAGATCCCAGAGACTCCGATATCCCTCCTCTACAACTCTACTCGGGTTGCTCAGCGAGAATTTCTGCACCTGTGCCAGAAGTCTCGAGCCTGCGCCCATTGGAGATTCGGGATCTCAAGCCCTGGCTCTGCTTCTTGCCGCGGCGCCAACCACGACGCAGCCTCCAGGGGTGGAGGTGCCGTTCCAGACCTCAGGCGATGTGGGTTTCGGGATGCAAGGATATGGAGGGCTTGGAACAACATCCGTTCGGGTCGCCGCGCCTGTTGTTGTAGAAGGCGAGCAAGTGGCGCTGGAAGTCGTGCGCCAGAATCTCCCAGCCAGCACTTTGAAGGCTTTCGATTTCCATTCCGCATGCTTCGCTCTCCTCTGGTTCAGCCTTCCCTTGGTCCACCCTACCCGCTGAAACAAACCTCTGTTGTCCATTGTGCTTGGGCGGAACAGCATCTGGCCATAAGCGCAGTGTTCGGTCTTAGTCAGCCCAAGCAGCAGAAGGACGGAGGCACTATGTCGCATTCCGAGCCGACTCATCTCTGACACATTTAGCCTTCGTGCGCCTGCTAGCCCCCAAGGTCCCGTCGCGGTGCCTCAGCCTCTCCACAACTGCCACCCTGGCACAGCGACACCTGGGCAAGGAGGTGTAGCTGAGCTTTTGCCTAGAGCTCACGGCCCACGACCGCGGCCTGCTGACGGTAGGTCCACAAGCAGCCGTGGAAGAACTCCTCGTCTCCTGGCACAGCGGAGCGGTGCCGCCGCAGGGCTCAGTCACACGGCAGTCCGACGCAGATCGGGTCCTTTGATGTCGGAGTCTGTGTCGGAACCAGCCGACGTGTCGTCGACACTGGTCGTATACACCTGCGGGTCACGGCTGAACAAAAGCAGCACGTCCTCGTTCAAACACGCCTTTTGCTTCGGCAGGCTGACTGCCCAGCTACAAGTAGCTTCGCCAGTCGAGCTGACATGGAAACAAGACGGCTGAGGGCTCTGCCACGTCATCTCCTTGCAGAACGAATGTGTCCTGTCCAACAGGGAGCAGTACCGCGTTCGCTGGAAGCCCTCGCTGGGCCTGCTTCCCTTGCCTACAGTATCCATCTTTCTATCGGCCCCTGCAAGATGCTTCAACTGTGGTCCGGCTGGGGCCATATGGTTACATGGAGATGACCTTTGGCTGCACAAGGCATCCACCACAATACCGTCTGCGAAAAACTGTGAATCGGTGCCCATGTCCTGGCCACGGCGCTCGAGCCTCAGCTCTGCACCTGCGTGGGAAAATCGCACTTCGAACAAGCCCTACCTTGGCTCCTGAGGATGCTGGCCTCTCGTGCCGATCCACAGCAGCGCCGCTGCGGTCGGACGCATGGCAAAGAGCGTTGCATGTATAGGGATCAAGAGGCAACCCTCAACAATCGTCAAGGGTTAGTTGCTCGACCACCAAAAACCACTGTTGTAAACACTCGAACCTGACAACCCCGGCTTCACGTTTTGGCATCCTTCCATTTGCGAAACCCCGATCTGCACCGTTGGTCTTTACGGCTCCTCGCAACGTCACAACACTGCGGTCATGAAGCTTGGAATCTCAATTCAACCTCATAGCACTTCACAAAAAGCTTCAAGTGTGACTGTGTTCTGCAAGGCGTTGGACGAATTGCAAAACTCGGGCCTTCGCCGTCCTGAAAACTGCTAAGCTTGAGCGCTGCCTCTGCTAAATCGGCGCAAACGTTCGAAATACCTTACCGGTTGTCCACATCATCGAAACCGGCTCAAGAAACTTGAACCATCATCTCGACAGACCTACGGTACACCTGACGACAAGCACACTCTGAAGCAACATGCACACGATACCCAACCAAAATTCAGGTGTCATGCTGTCACGATTCTGCCATGAAGCGCCCAGCATTCCCCGTCCTCCACGCCTGACCCCAAAGCATGCACGCATGCATGTACACGTGAAGCCTGGTCCTCAATTGGATTGAACAGTGCGTCCAGCTTGCATTCGTGAGTTCCCATAATAATTTAACCAGGAACAACCAGACAGACCTTTTCCCCAAACGGCACGCACTGGTTCACACTCCCGGGGAAAGCACGACCTGTGCGGGTTGTCCCGGGTCCCTTCTTGGAAAATCGCTCGGTTCCTAATGAACCCAAACTCTCTTTGTCTTAAAACTTGGGGGTGTTTCAGATTATAGTTCCCTAGGGAAGGCCAATCGGCTACCGGTTAGCGGTGTAGGATGTGAGGCCGAATGGGGTCTTGCGGCGTTTTCGGCGAATGGTTCTAGGCAAAAGTCTACATCCCAAAATCCCACACTCTCGAAACTCAACACCACGAAAACCGGAGATCCCAAAAATCCAAACCCTTTGAAGCCCAAACCCCTGAACCCTGGCGGGCGAAATTCTGCCGCACCTGTTCCTCCTGATCGATGGGGGTCTCGTCACCGCCTGCAAGACGGGCTTCGGGCTGAAGCTTGCCGAGAATCTGCTGCGCTGCAGGTGCACGCGACGTGAACACCGCATGTAGCGTCCCACATGTAGCGTCCCAATCACCAAAGATCCCCAACCCTGAAGCCCGACCTGGCCACTGCCGACGGACTTCCACGAGCAAAAGGCCCTGGCTGACGACGCAGCGTGCTATGCAGGAAAGCCTCTTAGAAGAATACATGCCCCCACAAACCCAGATCCGACTTCAGAGGGCACTCAAGGCCCACGAAGACCTAACTCAAGACCCCCAACCAAAAACTGAGCAAGATGCAGATTTCAGGACAGAGCAATGCCGGTCCGACGGGTCAACCAGAACTTGTGGCTGTGACCAGGTTGGGTTTATGGTTTCGGCTCTGGGTTTGCAAGACTTAGGTTTGTGTTCGGGTCTGTCCGACTCAATGCAGAATTGGAATCAACAAAATGTCTGCAGTACCGCCGTCGTCACTTGCTGGCGCTTCGAGCACCGGCCCTGTAGGCTGCAGGCTACAGGCTCTGGAGCTACTCGTAATCATAACAGCTCACCCCACACAAGGGTTTTGACTAAACCCTTGCAATGTTTTTTTTTCGACTGACTTGTCGCACCTTTCATTCTATCTTCACTCAAGCCGTTCTAACGTTCGCGGCTTATACCCATGGCCCGAAGGCCATCAAGTGACGGCCGAGAGAAGCCCCTCATCAAAAACAGGTAGAACCCCTCAAGGACCCTCTTAGAGCTTGAAAATGAAGTCACGAACGCAAGGTCGGGGCGGTCTTAGATGTGTAGGGTTCTTGGTTCCAGGACCCGTTCTTACAGGATTCGGTGATCTGGGGTTTGGTGCTTTTGCTCTTGGCAGCGAGGTGTTGTAGGAATTTGGGCTATGGGGTCGTCCTAAACCCGAAATCGAAGCTCCAGCCTCTGATCGCTCCGAAACCGACTTGACCCTACACCATAAACTTTGCTTCTACACCCTCGCAGCAATGGTCGAACGCTTGTTCCTCGACCACCAAGAGACAAGGTTTTTCGCGCCTCCGACGCAGTTGTAGAGGAGCATTCTCCTTGGAAGCTTCCAAACTCGCAGTACTCTCGAATCCACCGGACTGGGAGGCGTCCTTGCCGGCGTAGACCGTGCAAACCCAGCTTCAGCTGGCATGGCTCCCTGCAACCATCACCCCAAAGAACACAATAAGCAAAGCTAAGAACAGCATGATCCTCGGGTTGCCTGCAAACAACGTCACGACGTATTCCAGGAAGAGGGCAGCCTTGACGCTGCATGGCAACCAGTATCTGGGCTAATCTCATGACACCTCTTCCTCGCACGGCTCGCCGTGCAAGGTGCTCCTCGTGCTCGTTGCGCCCCACTGGCTCGTCAAGTTCACTCACCATCCCAAGGATGAACCGCAGCATTGCCAGCACCTTCGTCCCAACATCTGCCGGGTTCACTTCCGTTGGGATCGGTGCCACTCTCAACTCCTTTCGGGCCACATAGCCCTGCAACCACAAGCAAGACGTTGCTAGGCGCTTCACCCGGCCCACGCCATTTCTCGAAGCGATGGGTGCTACAGTGGCAGTCGGCATCGTCCTCGTAGCGGTAGCAGCAGCAGCAGCAGCAGCAGCAGCAGCAGCAGCAGCAGTAGCTAGAGCTGTAACTGTACCAATAGCAAAAGCAGAAGTTGTAGAAAGGAGGAGGCGGAGGAAGAGAAGAACGTGAAACCACAAACTGTGTTGCGACAAGCTGGTAAAGAGAGGCTTGGATTCCTGCTGGCCAAACACTTCAAAACGGTATTCAAAACGCAGGCGGAAATTCATGAAACATACGTGGAATAGACACGACCTTGTCTGCGTGCATGTATGCATGCATGCATAGATCGATAGACAGATATATAACTGTCTAAGGGAGGGGAGGTCCGTTATTGCGACGGGCCACCGGCACCTGATGCATCGGGCGCAGGTGTTCTGCGGCGCTGCATTTCGGCCCAGGGGAGGGAGCTTACACGCTGGAGGGCATGTAAAACATGCCTTGGGTCTATCATGCACTTCCAACTCATGCAGAGACTAGCTAAGTCTTGTTGCTATTTCTGGAGCTTGGCGTTGATGCGACGAAGACCGCTGGCAGACAATGTTCTGGAACCAGTTGGGGATCAGGGTCGGTGGTTTCAGTCTCCACAAGTCGGTTAACTCCCAAACTAATACGAGTATCAGCTTGAAAATCAGAAAGCCGCACGATCCTGCATCTCAAAGCTGAACGCCCTGCATCCTACATGCAGAAGGCTGAGGCGTCTGCAGGAGAAGAAGAAATGATGCCCTCGGGATAAAATGGGATAAAGGCAGCCAGGAAATACAGGCTTGACGCTTCAGGGTGACCTCAAGGGTCCGGAGTTCAGTGCTGCTTGCACGAAGGGTGGCATGATGATGTGTTGACGCATCAGGACGACAGAGATTCTTCGAGCTTCGTCGATCTCGGAATCTACGCTTCGGCTCTGTACAGGGATCTAAGTTCAAAAACGTGACGCATTGACACAATAGGCACTTACCGCAAAGCCGTCGAAACATGACATGGAAGCCCAACCATTGCATGGTGGAACCATGTTGCATAAATCTATAGCACAGTATCTGTTTATCTCGAAGTGCTGCGAAGCCATCCCTTTCTCGAACTGTCTTCCGAAGGCTCGTTGAGGTTGATGGCTTCAGCAAGCTGCTACATGACGGGCAGCATCAAGATCTGCCGTTTGCTTCTGCGGTTTGGTGTGGTGTAGCATTTGGGATTTTGAGTTTCAAGGGCAGAAACTCCAAACAAAAATTCCCACCAAGCGCCTGACCTGATGCCGATTCGGCAGAAGTTGCCTGGCTCCCGTTGCAAGCAGTTGGAATTCGGCAGCGGAACAGGGCAAGAAAGACAGGCCACTCTCGGTAAGTCAACCAGTGTCTCTTCAAGCTGTCCAAGCTCCGAGAAACCGAAAACCAGAAACTCTACACCTTGAACCCTGAACCAAAGCTGTTGCTCTCAACGCTGGTTGTGAGCGGCGTTTGCCGGATGCGGTACAGTAACAGAGATGTAAAGCTTCACAAAATTTTGTAGGGGCCCATTTGGGGGCCTGTAAACAACGTCAACAGCTCCCCCACGAACGTGTTCAGATGTCTCGAACAGATTTCGCCTTTGGGCTGTACAGTACGGTTCAGGATTCAGGGATCAGTTAACGGCAGCATTCTGATACTGACAACAAAGAAACCACACGGCGATGATAAGAATGAAAATTCCCACGTACTTGATTGATCATACGGAAGCTCAGCGCAACCAAAATCTAGCACTGCATGCTAATATGATGATGCTGATGACAGCAAAAACAGTGGGCATAAACATGATTGAATAACGACAAACCACAGCAACAACATAGCACCTCTTTCTTACACACCAGAGCATTGGCTCATGCACATACCAGCAAAAACTCCACAACTGAGACTGTTTACACGAGCTCCGTGTCGCATCCCGACTGCACTTCGTGTTCATAGCACGTGCCCAAATTTCATGAAGGCAGAAAACCGAATACAGTCGTACACGGATCTGCCGTGAGCTTCTTGTTCTCTCAGATGAGTGCATTCCACAGATTTGTACTTCGCAGTAAGTTGGGCTATCAGCATGCGAAACCAGCACTCTTCTGAACGCACGCATGCTCCGAAGACAAGAGCAAGGACAGCAACGCCGTGCCTGTCGCAGAGTTATTACTAACAAGACATAATACTCGTCGGGTGTCATCAGGAACAACAGCACGGTCACCGTTACAGTAGCTAGCCTATCAGTCCGTTGGCATTCAGCACTAAACAGGGCCGCATGCAAGAAAGAAACCCAATGACAGTCATGATGATCCTGACGATTTGCAAAAGGCACGCGAATCTTGTACGTCCTACTTTGGACCACCGTCCGGATAATGAACCTTCGCAAAAATCCACTGCACAGCCTGAGCGTGGTGGGCGCCAGCGGGTAAGCCCGGAAGGCGGCTCGCACCACTCCTCGCATCGTTGGTCAAACGACAGTAAGCCGCGTCATCGTGGCTTCGCTTGTGTGGTGACGGTGTCTTTGCGAACAACTCTTGTGGGACGCCCTTGAGTCTAGGCTGGCTTCAGGGTATGGTGTCAAGGATGCTTCGATGCCCAACATTCAATGCGACATGTATTCACAGTGGGAAAAACATCTGCCTTTAGCTGGAGATGGAAAACCCGCTGCCTGCGAGGTGGTACCATTCTTTCGAGAATGTCTGAGCCTCAGGCACCGCTGGGCGATGATATCCACCTGGTCCCGGAGAAGCTATCTGAGCACATCTTGCGATATCCATGGATGCCACAGGAGCCTGAAACCCTAAAACGTCGGGGAAGGAGGTTCAAGGGACCGCGCGTCTACAGTTGCCCCCCAGTGGCGATGATAGCAACAACATGATTCTAACAGAGCCATGCTCGAAGTAGGGTGTGCCCCTGGCAAACGACACTCTGACCCGTGTCTTTGGGGCTTTCTAAGATGAGGGCCGTGACCGCCAAATCGGCGACCGGAGACATGAACTCAAGGGAGGCTGCCATCCCGAATGGGCCATCCCGACGGCTTCCTTCTGGCCCTTTGCTGGTCAAGCTCACCTGCTCTCGGTTCACTCATGCCCTTTATGGGTCGGTCGTCGAAGCAAAGACTTCTACCACCAGGCGGCAGCGACAAGTGATAAGGCAGGTGCCAACGCGGTTTTTCCGGTTTTCTGTTTGCGCGATTTCCTCGGCGCACAGGCACATGCTGATTTCCTGGCCCGTGCTGATCTTCGTTCTTCGTTGTCGTGTTCGTCGTAGTACGGTTTGTTACCAAGCAGCAGCCGCAGGAGAAGTGGCGGCAGCAGAAACCGGTGTAAAGCTGTCCACGCGAGCACCCGAGGTAAGAATGCGCCATCGCTTGGGCAAAACCTTCAACCATTCACCCATTCACCAATCAGGGCAAACCTGACACAAAAGGCCACGAGGTGTTACAAAAATGAAAACAACAACCTGTTCCTACCTCCTCCAACACAAACCCAGCCTACATCATCGCAAACAAACGAAAAGATGAGAACCATGAAATCCTGAACCCTCAAACTCCCAAGCACCACCCCTTAACATCCTAAATACTAAACCCAAGACTTGCTCGGACGTTCAATACATTCCCAGGGCGCCTGGGCACTGGCCGGAGATCTCGGAAGCCACCCCAGGCCTCAAAAGCAGTTACAACAAGAGTTCTAGCAGGACTACTACGAAAGGATTTCCCAAGAAGCGCGCACTACGCGTAGTTACAACAAGGGTGCTAGAAGGACTGCTGCAGAGGCGGCTGCTCTATGCATGGGTACTACAAGGATCGCGAAAAGTAGCTAGCCTAGCACACGCTGGTGCAAAGGGGTACCAGCACCGTGCTATGAGAATATTTTCAAGGTTTCCAAATGGGCAGTACAAGGGTATGTGTCAGAGCGCAACAGGGTTCTCTCAAGAATTCGTGGTTTGGGGGATTTTGGGGGTTTAGGATGTGTGCTTCAGTAGGGTTTGATGGGCTTTCGGGTGTGGCGGGAAACACGACACTGCTCAGTCAACATCTTGCCGCGGATTCATGACAGAACGGTCTAGAAAAGCGCCGCGGCCTTCAGCCCTCTTGAGCCCGAAGCTGTCGCTCCTGCACGGTGGCCTTGCGGATGGAAGCAGCTCAACCACGGTTTCAAGCCTGGGGCCGGGATCACAGCATCTCTAAGCCTCCAAACGACCTCCCGTCTTCAACCTCGTCCGAACATCAACATCATCCTCACCAGCACCACCAGCACCATCATCGTCACGGCTATGCGGAGCTATGCTGAAAGACACAGGCTCAGGCTGCTCAAGGGTGGATGCGAGACTCGGTCGAAACCGAAACGAGGCATCTTGAAGGCATCCCGATGTTTCAAGCCGAAAAAGCCAAGCCATCCCCTCGGAGGAGCGTTGGGATTCCCAAAACATCCGAAACATGGGGCCCGGTCCGCTTGGGATTTAGCCGTGCAACAATACCACAGCATGCATAAGTTCATATTCCCAGCTGGTACTGCACATTATGTCACTATGATGTCTAGTACTGTCAGCATTGGTCTCAACTCCGGCTACCCTCAACGCCCCCCCCCCCCCCACTCCCACGCTGGCGAGACACCGCAAAAGCTGTCGCCCCCAAATCCCGAAACCGCCCCACGGCTCAGAGCCTCGGCTACGAGCATCCTTGGAAGCTGTCGAACACCTCCGCAGAGACGCACCCAAAAACGCGTCGAATCACGGAGAACTCTGCAAGTTCACCTGGATAGGACATGCCTTGGAGTCATACGCTTGGAGTCACGCATTCGGCCTCCTTTACCCGAAATCTTTAGGCAAACCAGGCAACGTGTATCGGAGAGGCTTCCCCTTGCGGGATGCTTTGGGGTCAACAGACGGTTGCATCAGTTCCACAACATCGGCGAAGTACCAATGGCTTCTGCTGTAGCGGTGAGATGCCGCTGTAAGATGCCATGAAGCTGGCTTTGCGTACGTTGGGCTGCGCTAAGGTTTGATTTCGAGCCGTCTCCAAAGCAATACGAGCCACACTCGTCGTCCAGTCCTACTTGTAGCAGCTCGGATTTCGAGCTTACTATGTAGCAGCATATGTCTGAATTGAGTCTAAAGAAATGTCGACACCATACACAAAGGCTCGATGTTGATATCTTCCAGTCTTCGGAACACGACATGTCAGTCACCTTGGCCCTTTTGTACATGCGGGGTTTGCGACTTGCTGTCCGTCCGAAGCACCATCGGTGAGCCCGAGAGCACCTGTTCGGCGCACTGATCCGGCACCTGCATAGCCCGCAGCTCAATCCGATTGGGTCAGGGGAGCCTTTCGGGATTCAGGTTTAAGATTGTACATTGCAGGTTTTGGGCTTAGTGTTCGGGAAACAACCACACGGACAGCCGGCATTCCTTGGACTTGGAAACACGACACCGCTTTCCTCAAGCTCATCATGAGCTTAACTTCTCAGTGAAATTGTTGCCGCGGATTCATGACAGAACGGTCTGCAAAAGCGCCACGGCCTGCAGCCCCTGGAACCTCTTAAGCTCCACGCAGGTCACCCCTGCACTGTGGCCTCGCAGATGGTAGACAGCTCCACGACGGTTTCAAGCGACCTCCCATCTTCAACCTCGTCCGAGGCAGTATCGCCATCACCACCACCACCACCACCACCACCACCATCCCTATCGTCACGACGATGCTGAAGAACTCATTCGGCTTTGACCGAGTCCTCACATCCTCCCCTGACCAGCCTGAGCCTGTGTCTTTCGGCTAGTCTTCGGGTCCAGGGATTGGGATGAGGCGGATTGGGATGAGACCTTTGGGTTGCTTTGGACTGGGGTCCTTCTTGGGGGAACCGGTTTTGGCCGACTGATTTTGTAAAACCTGGCATCTTGAAGGCATCCCAATGTTCCAAGCCAATAAAGCCAAGCCAAGCCTCCTGAATCTGAAAGCTCCTGCCTGACACCAGCTATGCATAACTTGTGCTTTTCCGTCCTCGCAGTCGCAGTTTTGTTTAGCAGGCGTGCCTGTTTCAAGCAAAACAGAGCACGCCATGAACCTGCTCCGTGTGCCTCTGCAACGGTGGGCGATTTGTCTTCAATAGTTGCAGCACCTTACCCAGCGCCTGCAACCCCAGTCTAGCTTTGAACCGTGCATCAACAGCTAGTATACAACAAATACATTTCGATGCCTCCTCCGTTAGCGCTTCCCTGGTGCTGAGCAGCATGCACGGCACCGCATGTTGTTGCATCTCCCGTGCCACAGTGAAGGATCAGCTGCCAGTAACCAAGGCACTGCGAATTCGGCTAATTAAAAAGCCAAAACTGGCAGCATTATGCCCTTCGGTCACGCTTCAGCCTTCTGCTGTACTCGTAATACGCTTGGTCACTCAACCGCTTGACCCCCTTGGGCATGTTCCGAGACTGCTGAAGCACGTCCGGATCTGTTTTGAAAATATGGGCCGCAGATCTCTTGGCCCCCTTCTCGTTCCGCATCACCTGTGGGTCGGGCAGACTGGCAAAGTGCACAAGGATAATTACGGGACGAATGTTTCCCTGTTTTTGGCACGAAACACAAAGCCGTCGAATCTGCCTGTCCCTCATAGGATGTTTTGCTCCAGGCCGGAATGTGCAGAGTGGCCTGGAAGCCTTCGCTCGTCCGCGTCATCTCGTAGATCACCTCCTTGGACAGATCGTTCTTGCCAGTCAAACACCTGTATCACCGGAGACGGCCCAAATGAAGGAATTTAGACACTCAACAACAACCAACTGCAAAGCCAATTGCGAAATCAGTCGGGGCACTGCGCAAAAGCACCCACTGCCTGAAGCTCCGGCATATTCTCCAACTTGAGGTTGAAGAAGTGCTCCCTGCTTTGATCTGCACGTTGTTCAGCTTTGCTGGAGCTGCTGGCGGCGCATGAGTCTTCCCGGGATGGGCAAGACACGGGCATCGTTCAACAACAATAGACCGTGGAAGTACTCATGGCTTCTGCTGTAGCTGTGAACAATAGACTGTGGAAGTACTCATGGCTTCTGCTGTAGCTGTGAGATGCCTGTGTATGATGCCGTGAAGGTAACATGGATTTCGAGCCCCTTTTCAAAGCAGTATCAGCTATACTTGTCGAAGTACTCCAGTTCTACTGGTAGCAGCTCGGATTTAGAGCTTACCATGTGGCAGTGTATGTCCAAAGTGACTCTAACCCTTTTGCGCATGCGGGGATTGCGACTTGCAGGGCTTCCGAAGCCTGATCTGACAGCCGACAGCTCCTGAGCGGCGCACTGATCTGGCACCTGTGCAGCTGCAGCTCAGTCCCGGGTCAGGGGAGCGTTTCGGGATTCAGGTTTAAGATTGCAGGTTGGAGGTTTTGGGTTTGGTGTTGGGGGTTTCGGCCTTGGGGGAGGCCCCCACCCTAGGGTCGACAAACGCTGAAATATGCCGAATCACATGGACAGCTACCCTTTGGTCCTTGAACTGTCTCTGTGGCCGTGCTTCTAGCATCGAACTCACCAGCTTCATCCTGAATCTGATTGAACTCTGAAGCCCAAATCGTCTTCAGCTGGTCTGAAGACACCATTCGTACTCTGGGCCGAGGACCGAGCACCGTTCTCTGCAAGCGTCGCGGCAGGAAGCCCACGGCGGTTTCGTCATCTTCGCCTGCCAAAACTCCACCATAGCAGAAGCAAACAGAATAGCTTGAGTGCATATTCTATTTATCTACTGTTGCTATGCAGGACTATGACGGAATACTTCTCATGATTGCAAAGATTGTGGCCCACCAAACCTCAACAAGTCCTAAATGCATGACACCACATCGAACGGCCCAAAACATCCTACAAACACCCGCAGAATAGGCGAGCTTGACATGCAAGATGCCATGCAAGGACCATACCAGGATTCCGGAGGATCGCTGCTAAAGCCAAGCCTTACTGACAAACGGATCAGTCGAAAGCAGGGCCCAGTCTTTGTGCCTCAACAAGAAGAGGAGAGAAAAACACAAAATGACAGGGGTCCTGGGCAAAGATCATGGCCATGGCGTCCTCGCGCAGTGGAGTGCTGGGATTTCCACAACATCCGAAGCCGTGCACGTAGGGCTCAAAATTTAGCGGTGCAAGAAAACTACAGCATGTATAACTTCATATTTCTAGCTGGTATTGTATATCACCTCGCTCCACTGACCAGTCAGTCTAGCAGTGTCGAGTCGTCGATATATTCGCCTCAACTCCAGCTACCCACCCAGCCCAACCACCCACACAGAGCCTCGGCTACGAGCATCAGCGCAGAGTCCATGAGCCCTTGGCAGCTGTCGAACACCGCCGCAGAGACACCCCCCAAAATGCCATCGAATCCACGGAGAACTCTGTAAGTTCACTGGGATCGGATATGCTAGCAGGCCGCATGCCCAGCTGGCCCAGCCACCTTTGCAAGCCGAGCTATGCCGAGCTGAGATGGAACAGGGACGGCTGAGGGCCCTACCACCTCATGTCATGCATCTCCATGCAGGACGAATGCGTCCTGTCCAACGGCGAGCACTTCCCCGGTCGCTCGAAGCCCTCGTTGGGTCTGTTTCCGTTGCCTACAGTATCCATCTTTCTTTCGGCCCCTGCAACATGCTGCCTCAATTGTGGTCCAACTAGGGCCAGCCATTTACATGCATCATGCAGATAATTCAGATCCTTCCCACACGGCTGCACAAGGCCAAGGCATCCACACATACTGTCTGCAAAATGCTGCGAATCGGCGCCCACGTCCTGGCCACAGCGCTCGAGCCTCAGCTCTGCGCCTGGGTGGGTCGCACTTTAAATAAAGAACCGAAGCTGTTGCGCTAGTTCGGCTCAGGATGCTGGCCTCTCGTGCCGATCCACAGCAATGCAGCTGCGGCTGGACGTATGGCAACAAGCCGTGCACGTAGGGATCATGCTACCGTCGGCAATAAGGGCTCCAAAACTTTTCAATTGCGAAACACCCATCTGCGTCGGACTGAGCTTTTGGACTGTGAGAAACGAGGTAGCCCTTCCTGAAAGTGCAACACCCCAGGCTTCAAGTTTAAATGTATTCGTCATGGTAAAGTTGGAGGGAAGAATCGCAAAACCCGGCCCCTTGCGATGCTGAAAACTGCTTATGTAGCTGAGCATTGCGGCTGCTGGAAGTGGCACAAAAGTTCGAAATACTTCAACTTTGCCGGTTGTCCTAACATCGAAACCAGATCAACAAACTTGAAACATCGTCTCAACAGGCTTATTGCACATCTGACGACAAACACACTCCGAGGCTTCACGCGCATGAGAACCAACCAAAACGTAGGTGTCACGCTGTCACGATTTTGCGATAAAGCGCCCTCAACCCTCGTCCTCGCACATTTCCGTCCTCAACCCTGACCCCGAAGCAAGCATGCATACATGTACACATGAATCCTGACCCCTGGGTTGGATTGAATAGTGCCCTCAGCTTGTACATTTGAGTTCCCAAAATACGCCGAGGCTTCCGACAAGTCTAGATTTAGTATCCACTTGTCCACCCATCCTCTCAACTTTGTGGTGGTGGTGCATTGGATTCTTGATACGATATCGCTACCGAGCCACCAACATCGGCCAAAGTTCCGGAAAATTTCTAGGTTTCCTATCGAACCCCCTCAAATGGACCCGAAAGTCAGCATCAAACAGTGGGAAGGCACATTCTGGTCGTTCACCGTTGCCCTTTGGGTTTTCGGCGTCCTGGGTGGTTAGATGGCTGGTTCGTTGGATGATTGGTACATCGGGCTGGTCAGGAGATGTTGTTGGTTTTGGTTGGTCGGTCGGTTGGTTGCTGTTTGTGGTGTTGCAGCCGCTGTTGCTAATGCTGCCGGTTGGTGTTGTTGCTGCTATTGTCGCTGCTGGTGCTAACACTGCTTGCGCCCGGGGATGGTTGGAGGGAGTGTGGGGTGGGGAAGGGAGATGAGGGGGAGGGTATAGGACGAAGAGTTGTTTTTGGGGCAAAGAGGGTTTTCCAAAATTGCTGAAAGCAAAACATTCGAGCAAAGTTATCGCCATAAATAACTCCGCAATATATGTAATATAAAAGATTCGAATCCCACATAAGGAGCAAGCTCATCACAAGAGACGGAATGCAACATCGGATGAGCAGACTTTTCCTTGGATGTGCAATCGTAGCGCTGTGCTCTTACGAGGGAGGCCCGAGTGACCTTTGGTCAGGACCCCCCCCCGTTTTCAGGAAAACACCCCTCCCAAGCGCGAAAAGAATCTTAAAGGGTGGGATGGGCGGGAACAAAAACATTGCCCCACCTCCGGGCTCGAGCATAACTGATATGAAGCAAAGATGTCAATCGTCCAACACGATTCAAAAGGGCATGACGTGAGCATGCAAAACCTAGCATGCAAAAAGAGAATGCTTGAAGCAATGGAAAATACCAAAATCATTGGTTTCAAAAGAGGCCCACCCTACCAGCCCCGTTCATGATTTGGAAAATGCCTTTGGGCAAGCCCAAGAAGCTTTTCCAAAATTGCTGAAAGCAAAACATTCGAGCAAAGTTATCGCCATAAATAACTCCGCAATATATGTAATATAAAAGATTCGAATCCCACATAAGGAGCAAGCTCATCACAAGAGACGGAATGCAACATCGGATGAGCAGACTTTTCCTTGGATGTGCAATCGTAGCGCTGTGCTCTTACGAGGGAGGCCCGAGTGACCTTTGGTCAGGACCCCCCCCCCACAGGCGAGGGCCAACCTTCAGCCCCACTTGGTTTTGTCATACTTAACCTTCCGCTTGCGAAGAGAAGATGGGGCACTGCATACTCCCCTCTGACTCCAGCTGGAGACCTCATCATGATGCTGAGACAACTTCCGGAGCAAGCTAAGATCACAATCCTTCAAACGGACGAGGATGCGGAGATTGGGATCAAAAGCTCCAAACGATTCGTTTGTCAAGTCGTCCGCGATGGTGTTAACTTCACGCGGCCTCCAATTGAGCTTCAAGTGACCTCCACATTTATACAAAGAATGAGACAACTGCATCTGCACATACGCCAGCGGAAACTTCAAGGTGCTATTCTTGGCCGTCACGGTTTCATTAGCCATGTTATCCGTGCCAGCCGATACTGAAAAGCATCGTCCTCTAGTCTCTAGCCAGCCAAATGCGTGTAAAGCCACAAGGGTGGCCAACAGCTCCGCCACAGTGCTCATTCCCTCAGCGGTGCCGCGGTCATTGAAAAGGGCCGGTATCTCTTGCGCATGCACCTTAAGAGAGAACCACCTAGCGCGCCCAGGATCAAGAGAGTGGCAAGTCTCCCAACCTCCCAGAACATAAAAGTCCTCGGCCGCCTTGGCATCCGTGCGAAAGGACTCAGCTTCGGCTGGGCGTGCACCCCGACATGAAACCTGAGCGTGGCCCTCAAGAAGCATCGAGCGAATGTACTCCAGAGTGATCATCACAAGCCTTGGCGCAACTGCGACCGTGCCCGGAACATGAGCACCCTTCCAGCGATGCAATGGAGCCATAAATGGCCTAAGCCAGTAAAGGACCTGGCCAGCGTACACCAGACGGCCCACAAACTCCACGAACCTCCGATGGTCGAGCAAACCACGGTCACGTCGAGCAGCATTCACGTACTCGATGATCCAGTTCGCCCTCCGTTCCGAAAGACCCATGGAGAAGCGGAAGTAGTCAAAGGCGAATCCCACGTAATCAAGTTGCACCCCTCCACGAAACTTGCTCCACTTGAAAGGTGTCCCAACCATGAGCCAGAAAACCAGAATGGTCCAGACATGATCATACTTACGGGGACCCCCACTGAAGAACTTCAAGTCATCAGCGAAGAGAAACTGGAACAGCGGGCTCGTCATCAGAACTGTCAGTGCACACCTCCCAATGAGCCCAACAAGTCTGGCGAAGTGATAAGCAGCGCATGCCATGCCAAAGGTCCCTACCCGGTTGAACCAAATGGGACCATCCTC